ATGACCCTGGAATGTGCTACACAGGCTGTTAGGCAAGAAGGGTGGCAGTGGTCTTATCCAGCTGGGAACCCTGTGATTGACAACATCAACCCATTAAGCAAAATGAGTGTGAGGAGGGTAACCAACCACTGTCTGACTGGTGCTGTGGTCTGCTCCATAAGAGGGAATTTATTTCTGGTACTGCAAAAAACCTGGTACTAATTAAAAACCCATGCCTGAAAATGCCTTAGGCCCTCAGGGTAAGCTTAATACTGTTGATTAGCTAGATGGTCATGGTCCCAAACTACCTTCTAAATAGTCATGTTTATCCCCATAGACCAATGCTACTTCAACCAGAAAAGCTTCTCTTTGCAATGAATTAGTGGTGAATGCAGAGGCACAGGGCGGCTCAGGGTGCTGTGGCTAAGTAACAGCTGAATGATCCACACCGAACAAAATGTTTATACTCTCTCTAAGGTTCAGGGAGGGTGACATCGCAGAAGATGAAACAGAACAGATTTAAGAGGCTGAACATAAGAGGGGCCATGACATTTGTCTTCCGGGCATGGCAAAGTTAGTCAATGCGGTCATATAACCTCACAGCAGCTATGGTCGCTTGCAATGGGACAACACAAGACTGGGCCCCTCAACTGTCACTCATGGGAGAGTTCAAAGGACTCTATCCTTTCTCCATGAACTATTGGCCATTGGTGAATTCTGGGGGAAGGGATATCATTGTCTTCAGTTGTGTGCCCACTGAGAAGCCGCCAGGCTTCAGCTACAGTTCCAGAGCCACGGACCCACATGATCCTGGGTAAACCCAGTAACTCTCAAACAAAACAACAACTAAGTCATAAGAATAAGAAGGAGACTTTTGGGAAGGAGAGAGAGGGTGAAAATGGCAGAGAGAAAGAGAGTAGAGAGGGGTACAATAATTAGAATGCATATTATGCGTGTATGATATTGTCAAAGAACAAAGTCAACCAAGGTTAAAAAAAGCATCCTGAAATTCCTTCTGTATTTATAGATTAGGCAAGGCCTGAAGTCCTTGCTTCTGAACTATTCTACCCATTCCAAAGCAAAGCCAGTGGCATCTGACCCTCTGCTGGATTTCTCTAGTAACAATTGTTCAGTTTTTCTGCTTGAGTATGTCTTAAACCAGATTAGGAAATGGGAAAGAGATCCTAAGGGCGGGCACATTCAAAGTGGCATACCACATGAGAAGGAGTACACCAGCAATAAAGCTGCCCTGGGAGGGCAGATGGGGCCAAAGGAGGGCCACCAGTCAGAGCCAGCAAAGCTGCAGCCGCACCCAGCTTCAGGCCAGCTGAGCAAAGGTGTCACAGAAGCAGTGAGAAAGCTTTAGAGAAAGGAGTGTCTTCATCACTTTTGTAAAGTTTCACTAGATTTGGTAGAAACAGAATACCCAAGAGTACTCCAGAGTAGGAAGTGCACCTAGAAGACTGTGTTGAGACCTTGGCAAGACTGGAGTAGGCAATGGGGAGAAGTACTGGGTCTCAGGAGATATTTTAACATTGCATCTGATGGAGAGCATGGGGCATGGTAAGGGTAAAGGCTGCCTTGGGGAGTGGCTATAGGGAGAATCCTGGGTGGGGTGTGGGAGAGGAGCATTGGAGGACCTAGACTTTAGTTTCAAGTTGCTGTGACCTTGTGATGTGTATTCTGTCTCTTTAGCAGCCACATCAAGGAGGCAGGTGAATGTAAAACTTTGGAGCCTGGAGAGCTTAGTGCTGGATTTGCCAGTGTAGCAGCTATGGTATCGCTGCTAATGTTTACAGCTAAAACTGCATCCATCGAGATGATGGCTGGAGAAGCAGGCCTAGGACAGGGCCCTTGGCTTTCTTTCCACTGAGACTTTGAAAACAGAGATGCAGTCATCAGAGGAGGCTGAGTTGATGTGGTCTGGAGGAAAATCATCCAACAAGACATCCCAGAAATCACAAGAACAAAACAAGAGTGGTGTACACTGCCAAACGCAGGGAAGGCGGTCCTCAAGATGAGATGGAGGGAGAACTGTCAGGTGTGGCAGAGAGGAAGCATGCTAAGGAAAAGGAGAGACGTCGATAAGGATAGCAACTACAAATGCATTTGAAAAAATATTTACATGATGCTCGTGTTTACTGCAAAAGATGGGGTGTGTGTGTGAGAAAGTACTTCCATAAGAAGACCAGAAATATTAACAGAGGTTTGAACACTAGTGCTGTTGATTCAATGGGGAGGGAGAACTTGATGGTGTACTGAAGGAGGGGGTGGGAGGCAATGAGATGGAAGGATCAAGAAGTGCTTAGAACAAGAGTGGGACCTCCCACTCACCGCAACCAGGAAAGCCACAGTGTATGCATTGAGATGCATGTAGGCTGCCATATTTGGAGGTATGTGATAAGAGGTCATTTGGAGACAAAACAAAGAACATAGCCTATTAGGGGATACTAAATCTAGTGTGTCTCAAATGTCTTAGTGACTATATACAAATGTTCTAGCATCCTAATGAAGAATAAGGCAGTAGAGGGGAGGATTTGAGGCATATCTTACATGGTGCTCTACCTGCTTGAACATTGATTTTTGAGTCACTGTGTATTAAACTCTATGTGCTGGTTATCGCTGACTTATTGGTCCGATCGCTTTACTGTGCTAACCATGTATATATACATTGCTTGACAAGTTTTATCCAGCCGTCTCTGTCCTTTCTGCTTTACCCTTGGTCTCTGGGCTGCACTTCACAGTGCATCAGCAGCACTCATCCTTTCCATAGCTGTCTGGTACACATAGGTCTTAATATCTCCAATACATGTTAAGACTTTGGGATAGGGTCAACTATCTTACAGTAAAATATCACTGTCTCTCCCAATGTGAAAAATCTCATATTAGATATGAGGTAAGTATTTAGTACCTGTTTGTTGACCAATTTATCTTTTTATAGTTGAATGGCTAATAAAACGTTTTATGCAGCAATTCCTCAGCTAATAGAATATGCACAATTCTTCTCGGCACCTGCTGGGCATGTCTGGGAGATGCTGAAATCATTCATCAGTTTTCTCCTTTATGTGTTATTCAATTAGTTTGTCTAGGGTGCAGTAGTCTAGAGTAAGTATCAATCAAGAGCGTAATAGCAAGTTGTGTACAAGCTCTCTCCACACTAATGGCCTGCACTGTGTGTCGCAAAAAGGGCTTTTGTGCAGATAAGATTAGATTCTTGAGTCACATGCATGGTCTGCTTTTAGGAGAATGCAATATGGAAGAATTACTGTGTTACTATTTTCTGTGACACGGTGAAGAATTTGAAATCAATTTGGTGATATTCTTAGTGAAAAAATATATTATTACTGTAATTAGAGAAAAGTCATAAACATAGTCTATCTTGTACTTTCTTGGACTGAATAGTCTGCCCTGAGTGCTTAGGTGTACAGAATTTCTAGTTTGTTGACTTTTATGAAGCATATATTTAATTCTTATCTTAATTCTTAACACTTAAGGGCAACTAAGTTATTTGGACATAATTATACTTAAGTTATCATGCAAGTACTATTTATATATATTTCTTATAGTTAGTAACCACAGTATCCTACAATAATGATCTTTAATTTTGTTCAACAGGTTGCCGAGGCAAGCCAATGAGTCATCAATCCAAATAACATTTAATCAAACATCTTTAGAACAGCTTGGTGGAAATAAGTAACATTAATTATTATAATTTTAAAAGTTACTTTTAGGGAGGCAGAGGCAGGCGGATCTCTGTGAGTTCGAGGCCAGCCTGGGCTACCAAGTGAGCTTCAGGAAAGGCACAAAGCTACGCAGAGAAACCCTGTTTCGAAAAAAAAAAAAAAAAAAAAGTTACTTTTAGACAGGGTCTCAAGGTTGCCCAGGCAATCCTCCAATTCTATATGTAGCAAAGAACGAATTTGAACTCCTGGTCCTCATACCTTTGCCTCCTCAGTGCTGGGATTTACAGGCATGTCTCCCACCATGCCTGGTTTATGTTGGCTGAGGATTGAACCTAGAGCTTCATGCATGCAAGGCAATCACTCTGTCAACTGAGCCACCCCCAGTCCAATTATTATAAATTTTACCATTCTGTGCTGGAGCTATTGACAAGATGAGCTCTTTTGTTTGTCTATGCAATACTCACATTGACAAAGATCAAATCAAACATACGAAGAAACAACATTTTACAGTGTATGAAACCTATGATTAAAAACATTAGGCATATTTCTTGATTGAATTAGCATTAAGTTGTATGCTGGTGGAATCTTTTAAAAACATTTGCATTAAACATTACAGCAGAAATCTAGTGAATTCAGTGTGATACATGGAACCCTTTGGAGATGCCAATTTTTCAATGCTTATGCCTAAAGACTTAACCTGGCTGAGACCAATTTAAGCCTGTCTGGCCATTCTTTAAGATGTCTCTCTATCCCTCTAACATACATGGGTTTTTTTTTTTTTTCATACTGCTATTTGTCCCATAGATTAGATTCTGGTTAATGATAGAATAGCAGTGTTTATACTGTTCATTAAAAGAATAAATCCAGACAACTTAGAAATAATTTTACATTTAACAACAAACTGCTATTCATCAACACTTTTGAGGGTTTTTGGACAGAGGGAACAAAATATGCCGCTAAGAATTATTTTTCATTTTTTAATCACCAATAAAAATTATACATCTTTTTCTGAAAATTCTTTTCTTCCCCACAGAGGCAAAATACCCTAAAATGGAGATTAATAAGCAATTAACGGCTCAGACTTTACTCAGTATTGCAAATGTGCTAGTATAATATCTTTCTAAATATAAGAATTTTGAGAGCCAAAAAAATTAAAGACTTTGATGTGTGTAAGATCAATAGACGTGACTTATCACTATTTAATATCAGTTTTAATTTTTAAATGCCATGTTCCAGTGGAAAAAAGTTTACTTCACGGGAAAATTGAAATTCCAAGAAAGAATCCAGACAAAAGAAACAAACTTTATATGAAAGTGCCGTTAAGAGGGCCAGACTTACGCAGCAACCTCTTCCTTCGACAGGCCTTTGAAATTCTGCTCCAGGTAATGGTCTATGTCATCTTTCTCTTTGATCAGCTGAGTCCTAAATGAAGTGGAAAGAAATAATAACGTACCGTCGGACCAAACTGGAAAGCTTCCAAACACAGAAAAACGCCACCAGGAGAGAAGCGGCGTTCCACAGACAGTGGTGTCTGTGGTGAAGCATAGCCGTAACCTTAAGTTGTTTGGATCATTTCCAAAAACGTGAAGGTAAGAAGATAGGGAAGAGTAGATCTAGTGAATAAAGGGAGACATGTCAACATATTGCAACAGGTCACGTGCTCACGTAGTGGTGTGTTCTCTCAAAGCTTGCACGGTCTTCCACCTCATTGTGGGATTTGCAGTACAACTCTCCCTATTTTCTTTGGTACAAGACCTTGAGTCAAGAACTACTACTTGATACAAATGTGCTAAACATGTGTGTTCCAATTATTGGCACAGTTTTCCCTGGAATGCTGTTTGTAAAGGTCTATGTTTTCCACTCGTTCTATTTGTTTTGTTTTTGTTTTTCATAAACTCTCACTTGGCACCTAGTCCTTGTTAACCACCTGCCTCAATCTCTGAGCACTGATCAATTGCAAGTGTGCCCCATCATGCCCTACTAAGAACTTGCTTGTGGGTTTTTTCCTTATATCGCACATAAATCTCAAATTATTGAGATTCAAGATGCAAAAAAGTTAAAGAGACTTTATTGGAAAATGTGTCCATTATTATCACCCTCTACATTTGTAAAAACAAATATGCATTAAGTTCTCAGAACCCAGTATGTATTCTACTAAATGTCCCCAAATAGTCATGTTTTATTTACAGAATTTTTATTAAAGAATGTTTGTAAAAATGTTTTCCTAAATAGTAAGATTCTTTAATAAGATTATTTTTAAAAATCCATTTGATTTTAGGGAAGTGACAATTAGTTGTGTTTATTGCTCACTTCGAAATTAATATGTAATCTTAAACACTGAAAAAAGCCAGACAGAACAAGCTTTTTGAATTTTGTAAATATTTCAAAAATTAAAGAACATATACATGAATGTGTACATGCACTATTGAAAGATTTCTTAGCTTCCTAAAACAGAGTATTTGATTTGCAATTTTAAAAGAATTTTTGTGTTGGTTTGGTTATGAATTTGCTTTGGTCCAGGGGTTTTGTCTTTCTAAGAAATACTAAATTTTTAAAAATGATATATAAGAACAAAGAAATCTTGTAACAATTTGATTGTTATACTTTGCAGGAGTTGACACAAATGCACAAAAAGAAAATAGCCAAAGGTACATATGCAAATTGTTTCTAGGAATAAGCAATATGTGTATTTCTAAAAGTCAATACACTGACAAATGGCAACTTCAAAGTATTTCAGTATCTGTTAATATTCATAAATATGATAAATGCATCAATTTCTTCTTCTGCATTTTGTGACAATTTCAGTAGCTTGGTAGCCGTTCCTCAGTAGCAGCAGTATGGGAATGCATTTTCAGATTCCATTTCATTTCATGAGCTAAATCTTGCCTGTCAATCTACCCTACTAGGAAGCATGCATCCTATTAGGACACAGCTCTCCAAAACAAGTCAGTGTTTGAGACTTTGTGAGCTAAACACCGCATATGTTTTCATCCAAAGCTTCTGCTTTATTCCCTCTGTGACTATTTTAAAAAGAAAACATCTTGAAATTCTGTAGAAAATATAAAATAATTTCACAGGAAATAAAATGATTAAATGACTACCAGCTTGGCAAAAACTGGTTATATTTGAGTGAGGCTCACTAAGACTTTCTAAACAGTGAATTTGAATATTTGACTATAACAATGTATTATCTCTTTTCCTTACACAATTGCAATTTTTAAGATGTGCTATTGACATCCAGGACTGCAGGAATTGTACCCTGTAGGATGAGAAAGGAGAAGTAGGGATGCATACCTTGGAACTGTTACTGAAGAGCATGGCAGCTTCTGTCTGGCTAAGACTGTAAGCTTTTTACTCGTCACAGGAACTGGAGGAAAGGTGGTCATTGGGGACTGCAAAATGTAAGCAGAAATGGCTGCTTTAAAAGGATAAATCTTCAAAGAATTGATAAAGACAAGACATTATTAGCAATGTATTATGTGTTGTCTGAGATGAGGATACCTCTATGTGTCAAGCTACTGCTTTTGTTACGCAGGAATGCTACTGAGAGAGTTAATTCCACAGGCTGCATCTCTCATTCTCTTCTACTGTCTGTCTTTTGGACAATGTTCTGTATCTCTTCCCCAAAGTGATTTAGGAGAAAATCTATAAATGGATTTTCGACTGTTCAGCTTTGTAAATAGTTCTGGTAAGGGACATGGTTGCAATGCAAGAATAAAGTCTCTGGACAGCTGTGGGTTCCAAAATTCATGCTTTACTTTTTTGTTACAATCAACATTTGAGAATACGTCACACTTTGCTATTCTCTAGTAACCCCAACACTCACAAATAGAGGCTTCCCTTTAAAGTGATAGATGCTGAAACTGATTCTCAGTGAAGAGGCAGCCTCCTTGAGGAGGCAGATAGCTAAAACACATCAGATAGAAAATCATTTCAAAATGCATTAGTTTTAAAATTTGCAGGCAGGCGGATCTCTGTGAGTTCAAGGCCAGCCTGGACTACAGAGTGAGTTCCAGGACAGCCAGGACTACATAGAGAAACCTTGTTTTAAAGACAAGAAAAGTAAGCAAGGTGGGTCCTGGTATCTGGAGGACCTACAGTAAGAGACAGTGTTCACTCTGACAAGGCTCTCAGTTGCAGAGTCTGCCTTCCACTTAAACGGAGAGATATTCAAAAGGCCAGATGCTCCTGATGCCATCACTGCCACGTGCACCAGGTTTGACTCCTACCCTTCATCAACTCCCTGGAAGGCTGCATCTAAGCTTCAGATCACTCCTCACCAGCATTTTACACCTGTGTGATCTGTTGTAAAACTATCAAGTTATGCCTTGAATGGTCAACAGATTATTCACTGAGCCACTACTTTGTGATGGGCACTCTCCTGGGTGCTGAAGACACAACATCCAGGAAAAAGACCAAAGATCTCTCTCTGACCTCATGGAATTTCCGTTATGAGAGTGGATATTGAGAAAAGCAGATACCAGTTACATAAGCAAAGTAAAAAGGCCATGTCATGGCAATAAAAAGACTTGATAGGAAAAATACACCACCAATGCTAAGCTATAGTGGAGGGTAAATACAAGAAGGCAAAGAAGTTCAAATTTAGGAAGACAGTCTTGAAGTTGCTGTAGACATGAGATTGACTTGGGTACTCTCTCTACTGTAGATCCTCCAGATATCAGGATCCACCTTGTTTCCTTTGGGGTGAAATAATCTCAGCTTCACTTTGAAAAGTAGCTTCTCCTGAGGTCACAGGGAAAGGCATGCTGGCTTGCAGAAAGGCTGCTCTGGAGGCTTCTGTGAATCTGGCAGGAGAGGTCAGTAGGAAGAAGTAGAGCTGAGAGATGTAGCCAAACCATCCACACAGTGGAGTGCTACAATAGCATGGCACTATGGGACTGGGTATAGGTGGAGGAAACACTAAAATCTGAAGGGAAATCTTATGAAAGTCAGTAGTGATAGCATTGGTCTCATGTTCCTAAAAAGGATTATCACACTAGACTAAAATATTTTTGCATAATTAAAGAGATAATTTAAATACAGGTTAGTATTTTATTTTCAGTACACTAAAAGCCTATTACCATGTTTATGTAGACTTGATTAATGACATGAATCTTCACAGTCTGTGCATAATATGCAGCTAAAGACAAAGTATTGTTTTATTCTGCAGAATAAACAACAGAAGTGAATGCTATTACAAGGGATAACTTTATAATATAATGACTTAACTCTCTTGTAACTTAAAAAGATCTGATTTTTTTAATCAAATGTTATAGCAACCAATTGGTTTATCTGGATGCCCAGAATTTATTCAATCAAAGTCTTATACATAACATGCATTAAGAAGTTTTGACTTACATAGGGAAAACCTCATGGACGTGTTTGAAGGAACATATAAAGGCTCCCCAAACCAGATTTCCAGAAGCTTAATCCAGAATCTATGAAGCCTTTCTTCCAGAGTATTCAGTGTTGCAGAATAAATGTGAATGAACTCTATTCAGCATAACCCGCATCCCATGAGTGCACACATCGTGAGACCCATTCTACTTTTCAGAGCATTGTAAGATGGTCACTGGAGTGAGGGAGTCTGTACAGTTGCAGAAGCCATTGAAAGATTCACCCAGGAGCGTCTCATAGGCTGGGAAAGCTCAGCTACATTCAGGCAGATGGAGCAGCCTCCAGTATGGCCCATCAAGGTGCATATAACCTCGCCACCTCTCAAAGTGGCCTTCCAGTATATTATACAAAACCAAGTGAGTTGGCTGAGTTTTGCCAGGAAATACAGGCATATAATGAAATCAAATGCAAATAATACACATGGAAAAGAATGTGTCTTCTTTGTCACACAGATCAACTGCGATTTTTTTTCAAATTCTAAGTCAACGTTTCCCACCATTAAAGTTTCAGCTGCCAGTTCCTTCATTTTGCTCTCCTCTGATCTGAGAACATGAGCAGCGGGAACACCTTTACTCTTAAATTTAGTTTAATGTAAGTATTGCAAACCCTGCTGGCAAGCCTCAAGGCACAAACTCTGAATGAGGGGTGGTCAGAGCTGAATTACAAAATGGGGAAAAAAGTTATTAACTGCATGTTGGAAAAATGTTGCTCAACCCATCTGTACTGGAAATTTGAAGCTAAGCATTAGTGTGGATGTCTAGCAGCCTCTCTCCTTGTTCTAGCCCACATCCTACTTTGCCTATGCTTTAGGCAAGAGCTTTTTGTTTTTCATAATCAGTGTGTGATCACCACTGTATCTATCTATACAATATATAGTGTGTAGTTTGAACTACATCTTCATGTGGGACTTGAAATATACTCAATATTCAGTGTGATCTTGGACCAAATTATCTTCCTAAGTAACTGTCCTCTCTTTCATGCCTTATAAGTATGGTCTTATTTATGCTGACATTTATGAAAGTAGGAAGTAGCTGCATTCTCACAAGTAATAGGGACTGAGGAGAACTGGGTAGTGTGTGTGTGTGTGTGTGTAGGGAGGAAATGCCAGTATTTTAGGGAGCTATCATTTCAGGGTTTGGTTTTGTTTTTGGAGTGACAAAAGCCTCTTGTTCACTGTCAACATGACTTGAGCCACTTTCCCATCATTCCCAGCCCTTGGTGTTCTAACCTCGACTCAGTAATAAAGAATTTAGTCCATTCCTGCTGTGTACCACCTGCCAGGTCAGCAGCAAAAATGGAAGCCACCTCCAACCCATTGGCCATCAGGGTCTACCCCAAGAAGAAAGCTGCAGGAAGGCAATCACTCAGGAAAGGGAGAAGGAAGTTACCTCTCAGGCTGGTACCAAGATGTGCTGAGCCCCTGGAACCCAGCTAACGCAGTGCATTAGGAGGGCCCAGTCCCCCCCCCCCAGTGCCAGTGAATGGGCATGGCTACGTGTGGCACCCCAGGGCCTGAGACACAGATCAAAAGGCCGCCCGGAGCCATTCCACAGTTGGCATTCAGAAAAGATTTGGTGCATTCTTTGATCTGCTGGTTGGCACTCACATCAGCTGCAGTTACAGCCTCTACATTTGGCCCCCACATACAAAGACAAATGAGAATGAGAAAGTAGAGGATGAAAGGTTTGAGAGTTCTGGGTCAGGCTGACGGTGTCCTACAGTGTGAGTTTGTTTCTGGCCCCCAAGTGAAACTTCAAAGAGTAACCCTCCTGCCCACTCCCCCTGACATGTCCCCAACAGGAACCACAAAGGAGGACAGGTGACTGTGTCCACAGTGGCTGCTTAGAGAGCGACTGTGTCTGAATGACTAGATCTCCAGGTCCAATCACTGTACAGTGAAAACCGAGGTGAGAGAAATAAAACCAACAACTCCAGCAAACAGGTTTATTATGTATCACCAAGAGAATTTAAAATAAATATGTTTTTCCCACCAATGACACAATATCATTCTTAAGATTCAGAACGCTTTATGTAAGAATTCTTTTGCTATGAAAGATGAAAGAAACTATTGGATACATTTAATAGTTTACACTCTTTACAAGAGTGAAAAAACAAGTTCACATATATAAGTTTAAAATTTCTGGACACTCCTAGCACCTTGTGGTGGACAACTGGATAGGTTGTGAAGTAAATAGTAATCACATATTTCCCACCTCCTGACATTTATTAGTGACTCAAAGCATCAAGTAGAAGGTAGGTCATATTTCATCCAACTTACATTTGCAGATCTCTCTGGTTCTCAGAAGCCAATCTGAAAGTTCAGAAGCAAATGCAACAGCAAAGGAAAGAGAAAAAAAATTACTCAGTAATATAATTCCTCTGTGCTCCCCAAGTCAAGAAACAAAAGTCACTCAGACCGGTGAGTAAGTGAATTAGTAAAAGCACTACATACCCAGTATATACATTAGATGAACTAAAGAGTGGAACGTCCTGATTAGTTGCTGTGAAACTAATAACCAAGTCAACAAAACAGTAGAAATATGTGTGTTTTGACACAGTTCAACTCAAACGTGGTTTAGGATAGTTCTTTCTCTCAGGTTTGTAAGATAGGGCTGTTTTTTTAAACGACAACTGAAAACAGAGGGTGCCTTCAGTTCTGTATTCACTCACCTCTGAGCAGGCCCGGTGTGCCTGTTCCCACATCTGTTTGTCTTTCCTTAACGGGCCAGGTGGTCTCGAGCCAAGAAGAGCGCCTTGCCTTCCGCTCCTCTAGGGAGAGGCTTGATTCTGGAGGCAGACCTCGGGAAGCTGGAGGAAGGGGTCCTGGGAAAGAAGAGCAGCTCGCTCTCCTAGGAGCTGGCCAGGTCTTGTTCCCAGTCTTGTCCCACAAACCTGGCTCTGGGGACAATTGCGGCTGTGTGCCCTGAGGAAGCAGGCAGGGTTGCTGGGCGCTCTTTGGCCTCTCCCCAGGTCAGTGGCCTGGCTAGGTGCAGACGGGGGACGCCTAGAGCGTCTCCCGGGAAACAGAGGGGCGCGGCGGGCCGGGAGGGGGCGGAGTTAGGCTAAAATGGGCTTTGGGATTGGGCAGCTCACAGACTCTTTGAGCATGGGGACAGTGCTTGGAGGGAGGTTTGTTGATGAGTGGGCGTGACTTGCCGGAGGAGCTGCGTCCTCAAGTGGCCAGAGAGAAATCTCCACAATTCAAGGACCTTGAGTTTGAGAATGCCCCTGAGTTGTTTCCTTCAGGGCATCGCTTTTTCTCAAGATTTTTCAATATTTCTCCTTTGTCCACAAGATTGATGGAAAACCCACAGATTGGCATCCAAGATCCCCATTAACCCGATGAAACTCTTATTGAAATAAAGCAGCCATTGTCCTTTTCCTCGGCCTCCGAGATGTCACATCCACAAAGATGACTTTGCCAAAGCTACCTCCAGAAAGGTAACCCGACTTTGAGCTGTGACCAGCTAAGAAGCCTAAGGTCCCTTAGAATTGCTCTGTCCTTGTTTGTTCTCAGCCCTGAAACTTGGGAGTCTGATGCTTCCCTGATGGGTCGTTGTTCCGTCTTTTCTGTGCCTTGTGTGTATGTCTTAGTCAGGGTTTTTATTGCCGTGAAGAGACACCATGACCATGGCAACTCTTACAAAAACGTTTAATTGAGGTGGTGGCTTACAGTTTCAGAGGTTCAGTCCATTATGATCGTGATGAGGAATGTGGCAGTTTGTAAGCAGATATGGTGCTGCCTACATCTTTACCAGAGGCAGCAGGAAGTCGACTGATTGTCACACTGAGTGAAGCTTGAGAAAGAAACCTTAAAGCCCGCCCCCACACAGACACACTTCCTCCAACAAGGCCACATCTCCTAATAGTGCCACTCCCTTTGGGGGCCATTTTCTTTCAAACCACCACAATGTACTAAAAGGTGAGCCTTCTTGCACTTTCTCTCATACACAGAATAGGGCCAGAGCTTATTGCTTCTCCCATAAAACCATGCTGGGAAATAAGGCTTTATTGATTGCCCATTGTCATACATTGTGTGAGTTAGCCAGCAATCTGGCCCACCCATATAATTTTCCCAATTGTACATTGATTCTGTCTAGAGTATAAGCATACAACCATAGCCACATTTTCATTCCCACATCTGATGTTCTGTAATAAATCACTGCATTATTTCCACCAATTAAGTGTAGACCGTGCATTCAACTGTTGCTTGTGAACATTCAGTTGACCATTGTGACTACCTATAGCCAGCGCTTCCTCCAGGAGGTCCTCCTCTGTTCTCATGAATTCATTTTCCCGCTCTCAGATTCACTTTAGTGGAACTCCATTTGACCGGTGGGAATTCTCTCCCAGACTCTGCTCTCTGTAGACTTTCTGCACAGGAGATTTGTGAGTTCTACTTCCTGCCTTAGGTAATGAACCACCTCTTAGTCCACGGTCTAGAAAACTGCCCTGTCTTTTTGGATTTATTCCCCTGCTTGCTGTCCCCAACTCATTGGAAGTTCTGTGACATCCTTCTGAGCATAAGTTTCTTTAGAGCTAGAAAATGAAGTCAGAGAACTTTGCGAATGACAGAAAACTCAAACTGACTTAAGCAAAAAGTAAAGAGGAAACTATTCTTCCCAAGTGAGGGTGCTGGCTTCAGCACTGCGTTTCTCTAGGTGCTTGGGCCCTTCTGGAAGCACTGGGGACTTCTTTATCCATGCAGAATTAATCTCTTCTACTCCTTCTACTTACAGATGTCTTTATTCTATGAGCCCATCTTCCCTGAGAGTGAGAACTCCCTGTAAGTGTGGGCTTTAGTTTCCTCTTCTTCTTGTCTAGTTTCCTGTAATAACACAGAGGCTGGGGACTGTCGTGTGGTATATGTTCACACAGGTTTTGGATTAACCGAATGAATGGCAGCATAAGCAGAAGTTCCTCCAATTGACGTCTTCTCTTCCTCATGTAGAATTCGAAGGGGGGATGGGGGCAGATACAAATGGCCATTTGAAGCTCTTACTGACCTGCTACATCCAGGGTGCCTTCTGCTTTTTGCTCTGGAGACAGGTATTTAGGACATGTCAAAACTCTCCCCAAATAGAAGCTCTACTCCTCCAATGGGTGCCACTACATTCTAGCCACTCCCCCTAATAGAGCTCAATGCTGTTTTGACCCTTACTCATCAATTCCAATAGGAAAACTTTGCTGAATCCTTCTGTTTGACCCATGTGTTTTACTGAATGTGTTCCCTTGCAACACTGAAGAAAGAATATTCTAGGCATTTTGAGTTCTTTCGGGCTGACATGGTCCTTCTTTTCTCTACAGCCATTGGCAAAGTATACATTCTTGATACTTAGAAAGTATCCTTTTACCTTTCCTAACCCCAGAATTTGTGATGAGAACTCCGAAACCCATTTCCTGTGCCTCCTTTGTATGTGACCTCCTAAGTGTGTGTGTGTGTGTGTGTGTGTGTGTGTGTGTGTGTGTGTGTGTGTGTGTGTGTGTGTATACACATATAGAGGTCAGAGAATGACCTGGGTGATTTAGTTCTCTCCTTTCATTCTGTGGGACCTAAGTTCCTGGGGCTTAGAAATAAGTACCTTTATCCGAGGCCTATGGTGCTGATCCAAGATAGCCTTCTAGTTGGAGGTGCTGGGAACCAGATCCAGGGCTCTGTACATGCTAAGTGCACACTCTTAACACTGAACTCTGTTACCACTATTTTTTCTTTTTAATTATTCTATGTGCCTTTTACATCATGTATCTTAACTCTATTCATCTCCCCATCTCTTTGCATCTGCCTTCTGCCCCTGCATGCCTCCACCCCCCAAATAAAACAAAATTAATGAGAAAAAATTTTAAAAAGGGAAGAAATTTAAAATCTCATCATGGAAGCTGCAGTGTAATACAGTGAGTCACACCATAAACCCCTTTGTCCATGTATCTTTACTTACAAGTGTTCATTGCAAGGAGTCATTGGTCTGGTTCAAGGCTTAAAGGTTTCTACTACATTATCAATGCTGGGCCCTCACTGAGACTCTTCTTGGGTATGTTGTTGTTGCTCTGTGTTGTGGAGATCCTGCAGCTTTGGGTCTGTGAGTCAGGTCCCTTCACATGCTCCAGCAGATCACAGATGGGGTGGATGCTGGGACAGGCCAAGTCATAACCTTGGCCAAGTCTGGGCCTGGGCAGCTGTAGAGTTGGTCTGCCTCCCAGTTCCCCCTGTTCTCACCACCAGGGTGAGCTCCATAGCATTGCCCCAGCTAATTCACCTCTGGCAGCAACGAGTGAGGGATGGGGCTGGTTCTCCTGTTTTCATGCTCTCAGGATGGGCTCTCCCACACCTACACCATCAGAGCCAGCTTTATTGTGTTGCCCAGGCAAGATACAGGGGCCACTCTCCTGAGTGCTGCAGCTGGTGAGGGATAGGGGCAGCCCTCCTGCTCTTTTGACCCCAGGGCCAGGTCCTCCATTTGTCTCAGGTATTGATGGACAGGAGGTGGGGGAGAGGGCATCTCTCCTCTGCCAATGCTACCACATATCTGATGAGAAATGGGGACGGCTCTCCTTTGCTCATAACATCAGAGCTGGATCACCCTCACCTCTGACCATTGCTCAGCTCTGCTGTGCTGCCTGGGTGAGAGGCAGGGCCTGTTTCCTGAGTGCGTCAGCTGGTAAGGTGGAGGGTCAGCTCTCTCATCTGTTGCAGGTGGTAAGGGAGAGGGATAAAGAGGGGCATCTCTTACCCTCCCACATTGCCACATGACAGATGAGTAGTGGGACAGCTCTCCCACTTACAGTTTTGGGGCTGGCTCATCCACACCTCTGCCAACAAGGTTGGCTCTGTTGTGTTACCCAGGTGAGGTGCAGGGCCTGCTCTCCCAAGTGTTGCATCTGGTAGGAGGCAGGGACAGCTCTTCTGCTCTTGTGACCTTAGGCCAGTTCTTACACTTGCCCCAGGCATTGATAGGCAGGGTGGGTGTTGGGGCAGGGAAGAGAGCAACTCTACCCTGCCCATGCTACCACAGGAGAGATTGGTGATGGGGGCATCTCTCCCTTGCTCACTACTTTGGGGCTGGCTCACCTACACCTAAGCCAACAAGGTTAGCTCTGTTGTGCTGCCCAGGCAAGGTACAGGGCCTTCTCTCCTGAGTGCTGTAGCTGGTGGTGATGAGGGACAGCTCTCCCACTCTTATGACCACAGGGCCAGCTCTCCCACCTACCTCAGATACTGATGGGCAGGGCTGTGGGTGGGGTGGGGTGGGGAGCCCGCCCATGCTGCCACAAGGCAGATGGGTGATAGGGAAACAGCTCTCCCATGATCACAGTTTTGCGGCTGGCTCACCCACACCCGCGCTAATAGGGTTGGCTCTATTGTGCTGCCTTGGCAAGAGGCAGAGCTTGCCTGTTCCTGAGTGCTGCAGCTGATGGGGGTCAGGGACAGCTCTCCTGCTCTTATGACCACCGGGAAAGCTCTCCCACCTGTCTCAAGTGTTGATGGGCAGCAGGGGCACGGGGGGGGGGGTTGCCACTGTTTTTTAATAGATTCTCTTTCATGAACAGAATCTCTTCTCAATTATCACTGAATATATCAGATTTTTAAGGCTGTATTTTTTTCTATAAATCATGTTTGCCTGCAGGAAAGTTTTTCTTTGCTTAATGTTGACATTTTTACATAGCCTATTATCCTTGGCTGCTATAGTGATAATCAGTAGGTTCAGCTGCCAGGAGCAGAAATCAACACTAACAGAACTGAAAAAGTAGTACAGTACTCAGAGAGTTACAGCTTAACTGGGTATTCTCAAGATGGTCTTTGCAATCCAGTCACAACATCTGCATTTTATCTGAGGAATGCACACACAGGAGAATAATGGTACACTCATCCCAAGATGAAGAACAAATCCCTGCTTTATCCCACCAGCAAGGGCTTCATCACGTGGCCACTTTAAGCTTCAAGGGCAGGTGGGAATATGTCAGCTGTGTTTTGAATATCCACATGCCATGCCTTGGAACTTGAAGTTTGAATACCAAAGCAAAAAAA